AAAACCACACAACATGAAAGAAAATTCTAATGGATTAGACTTCATCAGAATTTAAAGATAACTGCACATCAAAATGAAAAGTCAAGCTACAAACTGGGAGAATATATTTGCAATACAAGTATCTGACAAATAATTTGTATCTAGAATATATAAGATACTCTAACAATTCAATGACAAAATGATAAATTTCTTAAATGGACAAAAGCTTTGAACAGAAAAAAGAAGATACACAAATTGGCCAATAAGCAGATGAAAAGGTGATTTTCACTAATAACATTTATTTTAGGGAAATACAAATGAAAGCCACAATAAGATACCACTATACACCCACTAGAATGGCTCAAATTAAAAAGACCAATACCACTAAATCATGGTAAGCATATGGAACAATGTAAACTCTCATGCATTGCTAGTAGGAGTGTAAAATGGCGTAACAATTTTTGAAAACTGTTTGTTTCGTATAAATAAACACACATTTATTGCATGACCTAGCCATTGCATTTGTAGGCATTAATACAGGAAAAATGAAAAACATATTCATTGAAAAGATGCATGCAAGAATGTTCATAGCTAATTGATTCGTAACAGTGCAAAACTGAACCCCAGTGTCCATCAACTGGTGAATAAACAGTTGTGGTATATTCATACAACAGAATACTTCTAATCAAATAGCAACAAACTGCTCACACTATAGCATGGATCAGTCACAGAAGCTTATGTTAAATGAAAGAAGCCAGACACACAAGAGTATATACTGTAAAATTTGCTTTATATGAAGTTCAAGAAAGCAGGCAAAACTAATCTACAGAGATAGAATTTGGAACCGGGGTTGCTCTGAGAGGCTGGGGATTGATTGGGAGTTGCCATGATGGGATATATATATATATTTTTTTGTTGTTGTTGTTTGTTTGTTTTTGAGACGGAGCCTCACTCTGTTACCCAGGCTGGAGTGCAGTGGTGTGATCTCAGCTCACTACAGCCTCCGCCTCCTGGGTTCAAAAGATTCTCCTGCCTCAGCGCCCCCAAGTAGCTGGGATTACAGGCAAGCACCACGACGCCCAGATAGTTTTTGTATTTTAAGTACAGATGGGATTTCACCATGTTGGCCAGACTGGTCTCGAACTCCTGATCCAGTGATCCACCCACCCTGGCCTCCCAAAGTCCTGCGATTGCAGACGTGAGCTACCACACCCAGTCTATGTATTTATATACATATATGATAAAAATATTTATGTGACAGCTTTTTTACCTGATAATAATTAACCTGTTTTGAACACTTACCTTAACAAGGTACAACTCTTGGCACTTGACATGTTTTATCCCCTCTAACCCTTACAGCAATCCAGAAATACTCCCTTTTAACCAGCAGAAAGAGGCAAATTAATGTACCTGCATTTATTAGCTTAAAGTGGCAAAGCCAAGAGTTGAACCCAAGATTCAGGTCCTAGAAGCCAAGCTCTTAACCACTGTCCCATTCTGCTACTATCCCAGAGCTCTTTTATTGTTTCTCTAGAGACAACAACCATCCCAAGAAGACCAAGTAATTGAAATAATGCCTGAAAAGCAGCAGGTCAACATCCTGCTAGACTGTTGACTGTACTAGAAAAATTCTAGGAATAATGAGCAAATGAAGATTTCCAAGATTCTGTGAAGGCCACAATTTGGCAGGATCACTGTGCATGCTCAGT